AACCGTCCATATCGGACCACTATAGGATATAGCTGCCATACAAAATGATCGATCAAAATATAGTCCTTGTATGGAAAACTTTTTTTATTTGACGAGGTATCTTCACAAAACGTGGCATAGATTATTGTCCAAGGTCAAGCTACAATATCCAAAAATATTGTTCAGATCGGATAACAAAAGCATATAGCTACTACACAAACTGACCGATCAAAATTAAGATAGAGATTTTTTTATACCCTTTTATGCTATAAGAAATACACCTGTGAATGGTATTGTAACTGCGGTGCTGCATAAATTAATGTTTTTTTTTGTTATTTTATATAAATATATCTACACATTAAGCAAACACATACATGAAAATTTGTATACATTGTATGCTAATCGCTTTATACATTTATCATGAAATATTGATTTTTTACATATTACTATCTAAATATTTATTATATATGTGCATAGCATAAAGTACATATCTACATTTGTTTATACGCTTCCTTGTAATCAATATTATTTATTAGTTTAATAAGTAGGTTTAATTAAATTGTGAGTGCAGTAATGAGCCGAAGAGTGAGTGATATGAATGCATTCGAATGAGTTGACTAAAAACAATAAAATAAAGCATTAGACTTGGGAAAGCTGGCTGGCAGCACGAAAAACCTACAGATGTATAAACATACAGACATGTAAATATCGTTATCTGCATTACAACAAAAAAAGTTGTATGTAAACTCTTTCCCATTGAATGTCTAATGCGCATTGTTTTCCACTCAACCATCAAATTATGCAAACATTCGCAGAGAAAATTATATATTAATATGTATATACACATGTTTGTGTGTTTGAAGGTAAATAACATGTTTGTTTATAGTATACATACATACATATGTACTTCATATGTTCGTATCATAATTTGGCCGAGTATAAAGACAAATATATGACCAGAGAAGCGTGCCTGTGAAAGTCCCAGTTGATTTGGCAAAAACATAACTCGCTGATAAATATGAGCGCGCTTATAAGTATGCTATATTTAAAATACCCACGCATATGTGTGTATGTATGTAAACATTTTATTATTAGAGGGGTGTGATATTACTAACGATTGTTAACACATTCATAGCCGTATTTGTATTTATCTTTGAATATCTACATATCTACATGTGTAAATAAATACATGCATACAAAGATATGTACTTGTGAGTATATGTGTGTAATAAAGTAAAACAAAGCTGTCGTCGCAGTGTCGCCGTTTGAAGGAATGCGCTCTATGCGCCAGTCGGGACGGTCAATTCAGCTACGAATAATGTGTGCCCAGTAAACAAAAATTGTACGAAATTCACTTGTTACACCAATTTGTAATTAGAAAAATTTTAAGCCACATAAGGACTAAGTTACTCTAGTACAAAAGCTCTTGAAAATGGTAAAAAGTGAAAGAAAGATTAAATAACAAAAATGAAAGGAAACAAAATTTTTGGGCGATCTGAGGTCGGGAAGAGGGAGGGTAGGGGCGTGGTTGAACTTTTAAGGGTTAAAAACGGTTTATCTCGATTTCCCGCAAAACTACGAGTCGAATAGTGAAAATTTATCTGGCAGAGTTGTAGGTAGTAAGATGATCTACAACTTTTGTATAAATATCTTTTGAACATAATCTTATAATTTATTTGTAAAATTGAAATAACCAAGTTTTTATTTTTATCTTTTGCCAAAATTCTTTTTCTTTTACGTAATTTGATGTGAATCTACTTACATATATCCTAATTGTACTGTAATTTTTTTTTTAAATATTTATTTTTTAGCCTTATTTCAACTTAAAATTGAAAAAACCTAATTTTCGATTAAAAATTCTCACGTCAAAATTTAGGATTTTTTTTAAAGTATTTTTTTACATCCGCTAGTACGAATAGTAGGTAGATGAAATGAAAAAAGCAACTTTGAATCTTTGTTTGAATTTTTTTAAGAAAATTATAATTTTATTAAATTCAGTAAGAGTGAGCATGTGGCTAATTAGTTCCGCTCTGTTTGATTATACCAGTTTAATATATTTATACCAGTTGGTTATTCGATTCACTACTATTCAAAGTATGGGATACAGAAAGTTCAATAAAAACGATTGTTGTTCATGATAACAAAGGCAAAGAGGAAGATACTGCCTATAGTGATTACCCATGACAGTCGGGTCTACGTAACCGGAACGGACCGAGATTTATTCCGGCCAAGGACTGTTAACTCGGCAGAATTCTGCCGCTACAACAACAACAACATTACAATAAACATTAAGGTCAAGAAATTGTCAGAAAAAACAGAAAATATTTCTTACAGAAAATGAAAACGTGAAAAGGAAATAAAATGGACAATATAGGTGAACTTAATGAATAACCAAAAGAAAGCACGAAACATGTATCATAGAAAAAAAAAGGCGTGGACACAGAGAATAACACGAATATTGAGCAAACTGTAACTAAGCACAGAAAGTTTTAAGAGCAGGCTGGAAGTAGGGTGGGTTTCGAAATAGTTTTAAAACGAAATTTTCTTCCGCTATTGTGATGATATTTTAAAGAAACCACAGTACCTGTTCTTAAATTAACGGTATGAAAAATATATCCGAACTCCCATTTTATCAAGAACAATTACCGCTGCTTACTGGGTATAAGTTTAAATGCTTTCGCATTCGAATTTTCATGAGGATGTGCGCCTGCAAGTAGACTTTATGTTTGCTAACTTCGTATGTATGGTATGTGTGCATTACAATGTTTTTCATTACAAATACCGAGCAAAAATGCTATGTTTAATAAGTGCGAGTTGGAATTTATAATTAAATAGTCCAGCAATTGTACTTATATTATAATCTCTGAAGATTTCTTTGCACTCTTTTATTTAACTTAATGCAGCTCATTTTTTATTGCATACATATAGGATTTACATGCTTTTAACTTTTTATGTAACTTTAACTTTTAAAATTTTTTTAATTTAAAAGGAAACGTCTGAGACCCTATAAAATATACACATAAATGATCAGCATGATGAGCTGAGTTGATTTAGCCATATCTGTCTGTTCGTGTGTCTGCAGTCCCTCAGTTTTTAAGCTACCGATCTGAAATTTTGCACTTGTCTTTTCCTCACTAAGAAGCTGCTCATTTGTCGGAACAATCGGGATCAAGTGCTTGTATGGAAAACTCTTTCATTTGAAGAGATATCTTCACGAAATTAGATCGGAATCAAGTTCTTGTAACAAACTTTTGTATTTATGAAGGGTATTATAGCTTCGGAGCAACCGAAGTTAACATTTTTCTTGTTTTTATGTTGAATTTTTCGCACCTTTGAATCGAAATTTGCTCAAACGGGCTGCTTGGTAATCGAAATGGTCAAGAATAGAACTATGACTTCAAAATTTTTAAAAATTTCCCCACAAATAAGTCACGTTTCAATACTTCTCTTCTATAATCTCTGTTTCTATGACTCATACCAAGTAATATTGCTTTTGACCACAACCAGTTTATTTGGCTAACTGTTATTTTTAAAGATTTCGTTGCTTCATCAATCAATTTGTCCATTTTTCGAAGTGCCACTTGAACGCTTCAACAAAAAAGCATGCACACATACACATATAAATATATATGTGTTTTTTTAACGGACACATTTTTATACTCATCTTCTGCAGAATAAAGTCATTGATTGTTTATCTCAAGGATTTCATTTTAGTTTCCGTTGGAAAGTTATTGACACAACGAATGCCCTTAGTGTGAAGTGTTCGGAATGTATATACAAGAAGAATAAAGAAAGACAGTTCAGTGGAAAAAATATACATTTGTAAAAAATAAAATCGAAAAGAAAACAATTTATTAAGCTATACGGTAAATTTTTAAATAGTAAAATACTTCAAAGTTAAAGCAAAGTCGATTTTGTAATTATATGCTATATATGTGTATATATGTATACTCGTATATATAATTCATAAAAATTGTCCTTTATTATCTTCTTATAAATCTTCAAAAGTGCATAAAATTAATTTATTATTCCTCTATGCTCGCTTCGAAGCTTTATTCTCGAACAGTTTTCACGATTCTTACGTTCTACCTTAACAAGTTCTAAGACAATTGACAAGTCTATTTACCTATTAGACTCTTAAAATTATTTATATTACAAATTCAATAATCCTACAAAGCAATAGCAGCTAATTATTACCCCTCTTCATAAACTAAATCACACAAAAAAATGAATAATAATTGCTTAAAGACAGCTCATAGATGGTTATTTATTGTAATGTACCATATATCGATGCAATTTATCAGTAGTAGCTCATCAAAGATCAAGTGAGAAGATACAAACAGTATCTACAAATCATAAAAATAATTAATCTTTAATTAATTTGTGTGAATCACAATATGAGGCCGATGCCGAATTGATTCGAAAAGAGGAAGCATAATATCATTAATAGAGGAAGCATAATGCCATTAGATTCAATAATTTCTTTATATAACTGTTACGACGAGCAAATGTATTTAAAACACAAAGCATGAAAAGAGTGGCGGACGCCAAATAACTTTTTCAGTAGAGGATGCTAGAACCGGAGCCGTTCTTCGCTGTGGGGACTCATATCATCAAGAGGGAGTACCGCAAAAATAAGAGGGAGGAGAGAAAAAATATAACTACAGACTATCAGCCGGAGCCAAGCAAAACTATTATTGGAAGGGTAGAAGCTCAAAAGGTTCAAACAAATAGTCAACGTATCCAATGATAAAGTTAGGATACTGATGATAGTATTATAAACACATATAGCTCCTTAATCTGTAGATGCCTGTGTGTATAAGTATAATATAAGCATAGCTTCATCAAGTTCTTTGTATTACTTGTGAAAGCAAAATATTAAAATTTTTATAAATTATTTAATGTCCGGGGTATACTTCAAAATTTGACGAAATAAGACCTTATAGAAATTTAACATTTAAAAACTTTCTTTTACACATTAGCTCAACCTTACGAAAAATACTAATTTTTTACACTTTCAGATCCTGAAGTCTACTTTCCCATGACTGCAGTAAAATTAAATCTACCATTTAACGAAAAGTCACAAAGTATATTTTCCAAAATACCGATTGGACGCTTTGAAATATTGCCCGTTGGTAAGGGCAGTGAGGACAAAACTATAGAATATCTCTACACTTTGGAGAATAATGAACTGCTGCATGTGAACGGCAGCACCGGAGAGGTCTTCATGAAGAACGATTATCAAGCCACACAGAAGAAGACGAAAATAATTTTAACCGCCATACCGCGGAATGCGCACAAAACGCTTGGCAACATACCGCAAATGGCATTGGAGGTGACGCCACAAGCGGAAGCTGAGTATTGTGCAAATCTGGAGAATGTCTGCTTCTGGGATGCGGCGCACTATACAATAATGGAAGATGCCACGGCTAAGGAGTCGGAGCAGATGAGTACATTTGAACCTTTGCGTGTGGGCACATTGAATCCACGTGCCACACGTTATCTATGCCCCACGATGGATGTTAAATACACGCTGACGAGTGGTGACAAATATTTTGCATTAAAAAATAATGAAATCTACACTAAAGTACCGTTGGATTATGAGTACTTCAATACAACAGAAGTGGAAAATTTCGCAGTAACCGTTGGTTGCACTATTAAAATGAGCGGCGAGAAAACGGTCGTGTTCAATAAGACGCTGCATGTGGCGCTTTTGGATCGCAATGACAACGGACCGGAGTTACAAAATGAGGGCGTCTACAATTTCTTGTTGGATAATCCACATTTCAAACAGGTTAGTTTGTTGTAACTACGCACAATTGACTTACAAAAAAAGTGGGAAGTGCGGCGTTGGTGTTCGGCGTAAACTTTTCGATTGTTTTTTGCTTAGACTTATCGCACAATGCTCACTGGTTTCGCCATAACACGATTTTTTTTCGTATTATTTTTGTCGTAAGTTTGACTGTTATTATTATTACTTTTATTTTTTTTCGTCTGCCAGCGGGTCTAATGTCTTTCGTGCATTTTCCACCGCTGTTGGCTTTTATTGCATGATACCGGCAAACTTTTTGTGGTAAACTAATTCGCATCACGCAACCGGTATTCGTCTTGTCGGGTTATGCACACACAAACACACATATATATATATATATATATATTGTATATATATATATAGTGTATTCATTATGACCGTCTGCTGTTCGTCTGGCTTGGTTGGTTGTCTTCCTTGTACCGCGCCTTCTTTCATTTGTCTTAACTGTCTGCTGGTTTAGATGGGGTGGAGGAAACTTAATTTGTGGATTGCCCGTAATTTCCGGCATTTTTTGGTTTAAAGCAAATATTACATTAGATTACGGAAATACACAGTCAGCATTGATTTCGTTTTAGTTTCATTAGTGGGATGAAAGTTTGATTTGAACTTAAAAAAATCAATTTCTGCATTAAAGGCTATGCAGAGATTAGCCGTCAAAATGGAAACAGAGCTAAGTTTGGCAGTGAATATAAAAAGGCCCTCTACTTAAGTTATTGTATAAAGAGAGGTGCCTCTTTCGATTTTGTAAAGAAGACTATATTAAAGACTCCTCCAATGTTTTTGTGAAACATCCCTAAGCTGCTCGAGTCTGATCTGGTAGAGGTGGACCCACCTACCTAGAGTTTTACCAGAGGCGGTAGACTCTAAAATATTACGACTAAATATCGTAAACAGATTACCTCTATTGTCGAAAGACGTGTGTAATTCAATGGATTCGGATGCAGTAATCCAGCCACGGGTTCGATAAGCTTAAATATGGGTCATTACTACTAAAGAGTTACTAGAGAGAACTATATGGACCTGGTATTGACCGAGTGTATCAAAATACTTCTTAAACCATCAGATTTAATTCAGTGTTGACAGTAATCAACGAGTTCTACAATTAGTAGACCAATTACGAGTTGAAGCTAAGAAGTTTGACGATACCTCAAGATCATAGTGATTGCCGTGCAGAAGAACGTAAGACTGTGCTCAACCTTCAATATAATCGCTTTATCCGTTCAAGAATAAGGCACCATGATATAATTGCAGACATGTGGGGAGCGATAGGTGATCCGAATGAGCGCATGAGACTAAATACATAGTCTACCGTATTTAAATTCAATAGTTCCGAACTTCCATCGTATAGAGTCCATCATATAGGGGCTCTCCAAACTTAACATTACTTAAAAATTCCTTGAACATTTTTTTTTAATTTTAACAAACATTGGCGATTTGGTTTAGTAGAGGCCTAGATCAATAGTTAGAAACGTTGCAGAAAGCACTACAAATAATATTTTCACGTGGCATTGTTAGCAGATACATCAATGGGTCACCGATCTAAACAGAAAAATGCATATCATTTTGATATCGAGAATTGGCAATCATATAACAGATCATTCTAACCTGGCTTTACCGCGACATATCCTACATAGGTAACACATGAAATAAGCCCTCATGACAACAATAAACCCTGCACATGTCTTTCAAACCAATATATCTTTGTTTCAATTGTTCAGGACTAAAACTTATTTCGAAATGAACATAAACACATTTTTCTTTTAATATACCATAAATTTCCCCACTTCTCACCTCAAAAATACCACTTTTTTCAGAACGCTCCAATTGGAAATAAGGTTATATTCATGGATAGAGACTCGCTTACATCGAACACACATTTAACTTATCAGATTTTCAATGACACCAGCGAATTGGTGCGCCCCGATTGCACTGCCTACGAAGCTGATCATACCGGAAAAATAAAGTCCATTTTCAGTTGTCGTAAGTACTGACGTACCAACCTTAAATTTAATCACAACTTTCTTTTTGAATTTTTTCAGAGATTCTATTTGCACGCAACGGTATTCTGAGTCAATCATCATATTGCTTCAGTTTGGTTGCCAGCGACAGCACTGTCAACACTAATACAATAAAAACAGTAAGTTTTCTGTGGATTTATTTAGTTAAAAAAATAATAGGTAGTTGAAAAATGAATTCACTTTTCTATATTTCGGCAGGCAAAAGCGAATATATGCCTACGCACCGATCCTAGTAAGATACACGAGGCTGATCGACCGCGCGTTTTAGAGTTGCGCCAACAACGTGGCATGAGCCGACGTCTAACCAACGTGGCTGACTCGATATTGGAAAACGATAAGAACGGTTTCTTAGCACCAAGCATTTTAAGCACCTATACAAAGGATGTTTTCATCCAGCGCACGGCAATGGCTTATAGTCGTGTGGCACAGCCAGAGAACTATCAGAGTTTAATGGAAATGTCAGCGGTGCGCTTCACGATCGCTGAAGATCGTAGTGGCGCTTTTGGCATAACATCATCAGCGGGAATCATTTATGTAAAGAATACGGCGGCGTTGGAACAATCGCCGGAAACAGTTTACTTGTGAGTATTAGAGTGAATGTTAATAGAAATTGAAGTAATGTCAGATAATACTGAAGCTTTGTAGGGCATCTCGGATCAGTTAGCTATCAATTAGATATTCGGAATAATGTAACTTGCTATTTTTGTCATGAGAAGATGGACGGAAAATATTATGTTTAAAGGCAGCCAAATCCCTTTTATTTTTTTGTGATAATTATGGAAAGTAACACCCTTTTTGACATTTTAGACCTCTCATATTTCCTATATTACTTTCAAGATTTATTGAAGATGTCCTTTTCTCCTGAAAATTGGGCTCTAACTTTATAAATAAAAGTCTAACCTCGAGTTTTTCCATTAAAGGTTGATGGTCTTTCATCCCAAGAACACAAGAATTTGCGACTGGTTCGAAACTAAAATTTTCCAAATATAATATTAAGACTGATTTTAAACTTAAGACCCAATAATCTAAATTAGCTCAATATGACTTAATTGCTTACTCGACTAGCTACCCGATAACTTGGAAATGGAAAAACCAGTCACTGAATAACCTTTTCTTGGAGACAAGAATAATCAACCGTAGGGCGTTGGTGTAGATGGGTTTAGCTGATTCTTCATTTTAACTATAAAAACTAATTTTCATAATATTTCCCCCTCAGCCTCAACATCACTTGGCATGACACCTATCAACGTTCGTTCGTTGTCAATGTGCATTTGGTCGACGGCCAGGCCAACAATGCCACCTGCGATCATAAGATCAAATCGCGCAGTCAAACTTGCGCACAAATTAAATACCAAAAACAATGTACGAAATTTTGTGGTCTCGGCACAAATGGTGGCGCCTGTGTGTGGCGTGGTTCCAACGCCGGTTTCTTCGGACGCAATTACGCTTCTTGCGTGCCCGATGCTACATACTGTACGGACAATGTTTGCGATCCATTAGAAGAACTGAATACGTTCATTTGTCCACAGGATTGTGTGGGAGCTGGTAAAATTATGGGTCCACATACATCCAATAATAATAAACGTGGCATATATTCCGCTTCCGGCACCTGCACCTGTGAAGACAATGGAAAATGTTTGTGTGCGCCACTCGACGACGAGGAGCCACGTCCGAAGCGCAAACGGAAGAATGAAACAAAGTCGTTAGATGTCAATAAATTGACGAAATTTGGTGGTTCGGATATAGCGCAGTCAGCACAAAATAATCTGAATAACAACGGTGTTATTGAACAGGATGCTATGAGCATACATGTGGCCGGTTTTACATGCGGCAGGTCATGCATTATACTGGCCGTCACATGTCCACTTATACTGATCGTGTTGTTGGTCTGTTTAATTGCATCACAACGTAACCTCATACGACGTACGCGTGGAAAGGAGGTGCTGTCGCAAAAACCATCACCGAACGGTGATTGTGATATACGTAACGGCGATGTACCGTTAATGCAGTTGGAGTGCGGTTTGACTAAATTCGATACGGCCGACTCAAAATGGGAGTTCGATCGTGCAAAGCTCCAGCTAGATGTGGTACTCGGTGAGGGTGAGTTCGGTAAAGTGATTAAAGGTTATGCAACTAATATTGCCGATATAACCGGTGTAACTACGGTGGCCGTTAAGATGCTTAAGAATGGGGCCAATTCGGTCGAGTATATGGCATTGTTGTCGGAATTTCAATTGCTACAGGAGGTCTCACATCCGAATGTGATTAAGTTACTCGGCGCCTGCACGAAAGGCGAGACGCCAATGATTATCATTGAGTATGCAAAATATGGCTCGTTGCGCAGTTATTTACGTTTGAGTCGGAAAATCGAGTGTTCGGGTGTGGATTTTACTGACGGTGTGGAGCCGATAACTGTGAAACATATTTTATCGTTTGCATGGCAGATATGCAAGGGTATGGCGTACTTGACAGAGATAAAGGTAAGTAGTATAATAATATTAAATGGAGAAACGAACAACTAGTCAGTAAAAAGATAACTGTAAATTATATTGGAACCTCAATATCGGCAAATTGACAAGATCAAGTTTAGATTAAGTTATATTTATGTGTGTATGTCGATCTTGACATCCACTCAAGGTCTACAGTCAAAACAGTAACTGCCAATAATTTCTTAAAATTCAAGCGAAGCTAAAGAGAGGATTGCCGTTCCCTCGACAGTCGGAACTAAGTAACCGAACAGACCCGGATTTTTATCCGGCCAAGGACTGTCAACACGGCACCATTCCTCGAAATTACTTCAGGAATATTTTCTGCCGTTACAACACACACATACACAGAGGATTTCATTTATTTTCTTGGAGCAAAATCTCAACTTATACTTAAATAGCTATTAACTCTTTATTAGGTTGCCATTAAGAGCCACGTACTAGCTGGCTATTACGAAATCTTCGGATATAAGTATTGTGATATATTTTAGAACTGAATTAATAATACTTGAAACCTATAAATTCTTTACATTATGAGATTTTATTATCCTTTTCTTCGGTTTTTTTTACTTCCAGCTAGTACATCGAGACTTAGCGGCGCGTAATGTCTTACTGGCCGACGGCAAAATTTGCAAAGTATCAGATTTCGGACTAACACGTGATGTCTATGAGGACGATGCGTATTTGAAACGTTCACGTGACCGGGTGCCCGTGAAGGTAATTTAAACGCGTACACATAAAAACTATGTCTAACTAATAAATGATTTGCTTTATTTTAAAAGTGGATGGCGCCCGAATCATTGGCAGACCATGTGTACACCACCAAATCCGATGTGTGGGCTTTTGGTGTGCTTTGTTGGGAATTGATAACGCTAGGCGCATCACCATATCCCGGCATACCACCACAGAATCTCTATCATTTATTGAAAACCGGCTATCGCATGGAGAAACCCGATAATTGTTCGGAAGAAATGTGTGTAGAAACAACAGAAAAAAAATTAAATAAAATTTTAATATTGAATAAAAATTTCTTTTCCACCACCCACAGCTATTCCATTGTGCGCACATGTTGGATCGACGATCCAAACTCACGTCCGTCCTTCAAGTATCTCGCTTCGCAATTCGAAAAGTTACTCGGCAATAATGTCAAATATATCGAAATGGAGTCGAGCGCCATTTCAAATCCCATGTATTGCATGGATGAGGCCAAACTTACCGGCGCATCGCAACAGGATTTAACTGCATGCCTCGACCAGCAGCTGGGTGAGCCCGACGTGTTGGATCATCTTTGGCAAACACCGAAAATTTGCTATGACACACAAGAATGTCCGAGTAGTCGTGAATTCTCCACAAATTTCAGCATGGAATTTCAACAGACACCACCACCGCCTGGCTATGATGTACCGCGTCCACTTATCGAGGCCGCCACTACAGAGCAGACGTTACGTTATGAAAATGATTTGCGTTTTCCATTAAACATACGTAAGTCCGTATGTAACGCTAGTATTGCGTCGAATAGTCAAAATGGCAGCAAAGCTGGTGGTGGTTATGGCGTCGGTGATGGATGTGGATGTGAAGATAGCAGCGATGCCTTGGTGGCGCATTATTCGGTGCCAGTGAAACGTGGACGGTCCTATGTGGATATGACCAACAAGACATTCATACCCGATAATTTGGATAGTGAGGAATTTGAGAAACATTTCTCGAAAACAATCTCTTTTCGATTTTCTAGTCTACTAAATTTGAAGGAGCAAGACTTAGGCGCTGTTTAAGAGTATATTATATAAGGATACCGGGTTGTAGGAGTGTTTTCTTATTTATAAATTTGTTTACTTATAGTATTTTATAATGTACTTGTATTTGTAGATGTGTATGTAAAGTAACTTGTTGATTAGTTTTAGTTCATGTATTTATAAAATTAATTAAATTATTTGTGTTTAAGGAATTTTGAGGTTAGTGGAGAGGCTAATTTTTATATGAAATCTCGATGTGTAAATGTTTGTATGTATGTGTGTGTGCGTACCTATAACGCATTTAAATTAAGTTTGGCTGAATTAATTGCCAAAATCAAATACTCTGGTAATAAAATTTAAATAGTTTTTATCTTTGGCAATTTTGCGCATTACTATTAATTAATTTATTAAGTAATTTCATATGTGATTTATTCTTTTTAAATTTTTGCCATTTAAAATAAAAGATTACTCGTGATTGAATGCTTTTATTAATTTTTTTAATTTAAGCTTCATTTAAAATTTAAACTTTTTCAGGAAATTTTCAAAATGTTTGTAAAGTTTTGCACCAATAAGTTATTATTTTGAGTATTTTACAATTTTTATAATAATGTACAATTAAAAATTTATGTAATGTTTTATTAAAAATTATGAATTATAAATATAATTAAATGCAAATATCTACTAAGCTTAATAAACATTCCTATTGTTAAGCACAAGCAAAACATAAAAAAAAAATTGTTTAACAGGACTTTAGGAAATTGCTAAGTCCGTCAAGCCACGATTTAAATGCCCTAATTTATTAATTAAGCTTTCCTATAGTACCTACATTTAAAACAAAAGTTATACAAAATAAAGTAAAAATATGAGAAATCAAAACAAAGCAAAAAATTGTTTACAAAGTTTGGCAATGTTTGACTAAGATGCAACCAGAATGCAGAGAATGTAAAATTCTCTGCAGAATGTATGTACATAGACAAAGAATAAGAAATTGGGGGTCAAAACTGGACAAAAGGATCTATAAATATCTTTTCTTACAAATTTGAAATTATGATCCACGACTGGGATAAGAAAGCCGAGCACAGACACTTACAATAAATTGTACCAAATCTCACTGGGAAATAGGATGATTAAGAGTGACAACTCCTCTTCAGCGGACTTATGTATGTATGTGTATAAAGAAAAAAAAAACACAATAAAGCGCTCAAATTTGAATAGTTAGGAAATTCACAACAAGGTTACAACCTTCGATTCGACCGATGACGGGGTTGAGTGATGCTTCGGAATTAATCGTATATTATTATTGAAATTTTCAACTTTTGGAACAATTTCCCCAATTTGTTCAATTCTGTTTAATTACAAAGGTCTGTGCACGAAATTCTAATTCACCATAAACACCCTGTGTTGGTGATATCTCTCCAAATATTTTATATATTTTGTTTTATTTCATCCCCCAATTAGACAGCTGTTAGCAAAGCATGTTTTGAAATGTTCTTTTCGTATTTGGCTGATACCAGGAGGGGCAACCAACAATAGACAACAACATAAAAAGTCTTATTTAAAGTAGTTAAAATGACTATTTTTACGCGTATTATCGCCTCGAATTTGCCTAAACGCATTGGTGCACTTAAGACGTTACAGCAGGTGAGTAAATTTGTGTAAATATAAATGTGCTATAAAATTTGGATGTTACAAATCCAACATTAGGTTATGTAATTTTCATGTTTTAAATTTTTATTTCTTTTCTTTTCAATGAAAACCTACAGTGTGGCTATTGTACACATCTGAAATATTCTGAACACAAACCGATTGAGAGAATACGTAATATTGGTATTTCGGCACACATAGACAGCGGCAAAACTACGCTTACCGAACGTATACTATTTTATACCGGTCGCATTGCACAGATGCATGAGGTACGCGGCAAGGACAATGTTGGTGCTACTATGGATTCGATGGAGTTGGAGCGTCAACGTGGTATAACTATACAATCGGCAGCCACTTATACCATTTGGAAGGATTACAACATTAATATCATTGACACACCCGGTCACGTGGATTTCACAGTGGAAGTAGAACGTGCGCTGCGTGTTTTGGATGGTGCTGTGCTGGTGCTATGCGCTGTGGGTGGCGTCCAGAGTCAAACACTCACTGTGAATAGGCAAATGAAACGTTACAATGTACCATGTTTGGCCTTCATCAACAAATTGGATCGTATGGGTGCTAATCCTTATCGTGTGCTTTCGCATATGCGTTCAAAAATGAATCACAATGCAGCTTTCATACAGTTGCCAATCGGTGTGGAGAGCAATTGCAAGGGTATCATCGATTTGGTAACTGAGAGAGCGATTTATTTCGAAGGCAACCACGGTATGGAACTACGTTATGATGAGATACCGAAAGATATGCGGGCAGAATCAGTCGATCGTCGTCAAGAGCTTATCGAACATCTTTCAAATGTAGACGAAAAACTGGGTGAACTATTTCTGGAGGAAAAAACACCAACTGAAGCCGATATAAAGGTGCGTAAAGTGGAATTATTTAATGTTTTGAAGTTTTTGAACAAAATTTGTTTACTGTTGTAGAGCGCTATACGACGTACGTGCATTAACCGCACTTTTACACCTGTTATGGTGGGCACTGCATTGAAAAATAAAGGTGTACAACCGCTGCTAGATGGTGTGCTCGATTATTTGCCAAATCCTGGCGAAGTAGAAAATGTTGCTTTCATTGAAAAAGAAGCCGAGGAACCCGAAAAAGTCGTGCTCAATCCCGCACGTGACGGCAAGGACCCTTTCGTCAGTTTGGCTTTTAAATTGGAAGCTGGCCGTTTCGGTCAGCTCACCTATTTGCGTTGCTACCAAGGCAAGCTGCAAAAGGGCGATAACATCTTCAATGCACGTACTAATAAGAAAGTGCGTGTAGCACGTTTGGTGCGTCTACACTCGAATAATATGGAAGATGTGAACGAAGTTTATGCTGGCGACATATTTGCGCTATTTGGTGTCGACTGCGCTTCTGGTGACACATTTATCACCGATCCTAAAGGTAAAATTTCAATGGAGTCTATTTTTGTGCCAGAACCTGTTGTGTCAATGGCTATCAAACCGAATAATGCTAAGGACCGAGACAATTTCGCTAAAGCTGTGGCGCGTTTCACCAAAGAGGATCCTACATTCCACTTCTTCTATGATCCAGATGTAAAAGAAACACTGGTATCAGGAATGGGTAAGTTAATACATTTTTTTTTTTGTCAAAAACATCAATTTTAATATACATTTCGACCGGCAGGTGAATTACATTTGGAAATTTACGCGCAACGTATGGAACGTGAATATGGTTGTCCCGTAACTCTGGGTAAGCCAAAGGTAGCTTTCCGTGAAACACTTGTGAGCGCCTGCGAATTCGATTATTTACACAAAAAACAATCTGGCGGTTCAGGTCAGTATGCGCGTATTATCGGTGTTATGGAACCATTGCCATCTGATCAAAATACGGTGCTTGAATTCGTCGATGACACTATGGGCACAAATGTACCTAAACAATTTGTGCCTGGTGTTGAGAGGGGGTTTCGTGAAATGGCTGAACGTGGTATGCTCTCGGGACACAAATTGTCCGGCATACGTTTCCGCCTACAAGATGGTGGTCATCATATAGTGGATTCGAGTGAATTGGCCTTCATGATGGCGGCACATGGTGCTGTAAAAGATGTATTCCAAAGTGGCTCATGGCAAATTTTAGAACCTATAATGATGGTGGAAGTAACGGCACCAGAAGAGTTCCAAGGTGCGGTCATGGGACAATTGAGCAAACGTCATGGTATTATTACAGGCACTGACGGAGCAGAGGGCTGGTTTACCGTATACGCAGAAGTACCACTAAACGATATGTTCGGTTATGCGGGCGAATTGCGGTAGGAGATTAATGTGTTTGTAAATGGTAGTTTCTATAAATTGTTACTTTCTATTTTACAGTTCGAGTACGCAAGGCAAAGGCGAGTTCACCATGGAATACTCTCGTTATGCTCCTTGCCTACCAGATGTTCAAGAACAAATAGTGCGCCAATATCAAGAATCACAAGGTTTAGGTCAGGAAAAGAAGAAAAAGAAGAACTAATAGGTGTGCTGGTGTAGAATAAATGAATACTAAATTTTAATTTTAAGAGCTTATAACTATTTTTGGAAATAGTTGCTACTATGTTAATGACACAGTTTGAACGATCATTGTCTAATTAGTGTTTTTGTTTGAATCATTATTTAAAATATGTAGACGAAATGTTAATTTTTATACTACTGTGATACAGAAAATAAAAGTGACAACAATAAGCCACATACAAGGGGCTGAAAACCACAAAGATTTCTATTATTATAATTTTAAATCAACTTTAAGAAAAGGTGATGTGATTTTTAAAGATACTTATCGTATCCTATAAAAATTCCTATGGACATTACAAATCTTCTTTATTGACATACAATTTTAGTTTAAAATCGGTGAAAGGCAAAAAGAATACTTGATAAATGATGACACTGTCAAGTGTATTTTACATGTTTTTGACAGTTACATATAGAGTTGCCAACACTCATTTCTCATTTTTGTGGTATTATTGTGCGAATAACCCCAATAAATTTTTCACATTGAGAATATAATAGGCCTGTATCTTAACTGCTAACTATCGTTAGCTGGCAAAGTTTCTGCTGGAAAAGTGTTTCTTAACCTAAAAAACCAGCAGCAATTAGCAAAAGTTGAGAGCGTAAAAAGCTGAGAGAGCTGCTAGGTACTGCTAGTGAAATTTATACTAGCAGAAAATAGCTACTGCCATATGAAAAAAACAACTGATACAGCACATATGTATACAAGCGATATTTGACGTATTCAATTTTGATTTGGTTTGTTTTAATAGTTTTAAATTGTGAAAATAAAATTTCAATTGATTAATTTTTAAGTGTTGATATGAAGTGATTGTAAAAAATTAAATGTTGTTATTTCCTTTCTAGTTTCTAGTGGTTTTACGATTCTTAATTTTTTCGTTATTTGTGAGAAGTCAATTTTCTTCTCCCTGCTAGCCAGTGGATACCAGCAGTCAAGTTACAGACCAAATGTTTTTCTTGCTATTTCACAAGAAAAAACAGAGTATTAAATTAAAATAGTATAGTAATAGGAAATACCGAATCACCACTTAAACGGATTCTTCGTGAATACACTCATTAGAAAATCATTACATTTTCTCGACCGTTTGGCAACACCACCAAATATTTTCTGGAATTTGCTTTGCTTATCACACATTTTATTTTTTTACGGGCGGTGAACATACTTGATTTTTTTATCTCTGCTTGTACGTCAAGCAATTGTTTGTCAAAACGCGTCTGCTACAGAATATAATTAAATCGTTGAATACTTCAACGATTTCACAACGCCTCTCAACTTCAGCTGCACAACTAGCAAACAGTGTAGACAATAGCAATAAAACAATGGTTATCCAACACAATGTTAAGGGTTATGACGAGTTTACCAAATTGGTAGAGGAATTGGAATCGAATGCCGATGGGCAACCTATTCATGTGCTCTTTAGCGGTGGCAAGGATGAGAATGGACAGAGCTGGTGCCCTTATTGTGTGAAAGGTAAATTGAGTTTAATTTACTTTAGAAAGAATATGCTTTAACACTTTAATTCTGGACTTATAGCTGAGCCGGTTGTGCATGACGCACTACCCAAAGCTGCGGAAAAATCGCATTTCATTCACGTGGATGTTGGTGAGCGTGCATAGTAAGTATACGATATATCTATAAATACATATGTACTTATATGTAAAAGAAGTTGCTTAAGAAATGTTAAGTCATACTTCTTTATCATGATTCATTGTTGTGATTATCTTTTCTGTATCTAAGAAAAAAAGCGCCTTAGCTGCTCTTAAGCGTATATGTATAGTACAAGAATAAATAAAATAGGGTCAATTAGAGGAGATTTGAATTTGTGGTGAATTTGTCAAAGCACTAAATTGTAAACTATGTACATCCTGGAACATTCTTATGTGTGCTCTTTACTTTTGTATCAAGTCAAATGTTTACAAATATCATAACTTAACTGATTAACATTTTATAGCAAGATAACTGGCAAAAATATTTAACTATCATGGGATAAATAATCGCAGTGTCAACAACTAATTACTTGAACTAACAAAATTGTTGCGTTCTGTTTCAACAAATGTCCACTTATGCGTGTCGTTTAGCTTGCTATATTTTATGGCAAATTAATGCTCTCATTTTAGTTGGAAGGATCCGAATTGTCCTTTCCGCACCGATCCGAGGCTAAAAATGGTTTGGGTGCCTACTTTGATGCGCTGGAAAACACCATTACGTATTGATAGTGAGAATGTTACTAAAAAGGATCTTGTTGATATGATCTTTGATGAGCCAGTCGAAAAATAGTAGTTGGCATTATAAAACTATTAAATAAAAGAAGGTTTTGTCAATAATCGATTGAACAAAACATTGTTTAAGGGGTTTGACTTGAAATTTACACATTTGTAGTAGATAATGTGTATGTAAAATATATTAATAAAAAGTTTTAATTGAATATTTCATAAGTACTATATGTTTTCTTTAAAAATGCGAAAATAATCCGTGAAGCTTGCATATTTAATGAAGTTGTTTGAAAAAATGTATTCTACCCCCCTTATTTATTATAATCCGAAGAGGTGAAATGGTATTCGTCTATAAATCATTAAATAATGATAAATATCCACAAATGGCGGCAAAAAGTTTTTACTTTCAATTTTTTTTATATACAGTTTAAAATAAGAATGCTAGAAGTTACCGTTTATTCTTGTTTTTTTTTTTGCTATCATGATATAAATTATGAAATTATATGCAACTTACCTTATCATGTAGAGATGCTAGATTTGTTTGCATATCAGCTGATCATAAAATGTAATTTGCTTGATATTATTTTTCTTATTATTACTGCTTTCTTTTTAACACAACCTTTTAAACACTATTTTTTATAAATATTTTATTTTTTACTTTTCACTGTTTGCCGCCTAGAAAATCTCTTCTTATATTTATTTTTAAACCACCATTTAAATTTTCACTTCTAGTTGGAAAGACTTGAATTGCCCATTCCGTAAGGATCCCAACACTCATCTGATATTTTTGCCTACGCTACTGCGTTGGAAATCGCCACAACGTTTGGATGGTGAACGTGTCAGCAATAAGGATCTAGTGGAAATGATATTCGAGGATGAGGATTAATTATATAGCAGTGCTTGTGCGAATTTGCCAAATTGTATACTTACTTGCAAATCAACACACACACACACCTGTATTCTAAATTAGCTTGGCGTTAATATATATGTATGCCTGTGTAAACCGCGATATTATAAATTATATTATTTTCGTTAAAATTTAAATATAACTATTGGAATGTTTTATTTGAATTTCACTATTTAAACCACGTGGTGTAATTAAAGTGCGTTGTATAAATTAATAATTACTTTTATATTTTTTAATTTCCACCATTACTACATGTATGTTTGTCAATTGTGTACGTGCATTCGGTGTTAACAACTTATGGAAACGATGATAGTATTGCACAAGACTTGCTAATGCAAGTTGTAACAGCTGGGAGCCGGTAAGCAGTGATGGGAATGATAGTAATACTTCACGATTAAGCTCCTCTAACGACTTCTTCCAATTGGCTGAGAAACTAGCCACTAACGCCAGACTACGTCGCTCCTGTTTGCGCAATTCATCCATTTGTTCCTTTTCGAAGTAGTGCTCACACTCTTTCACAAATTGTATGATACCACCAAAATGTGGCGCTAATATTTCTTCTACGTACTCGGCGCTGCGTGCATTCAATTGTTCGCGGAATGATTCGGCTTCTTTGGAGTTATCGCGTGTGTGTTCCATCAGCACACCGAGCACCAAATCATAATTGTTTATAAGATATATCAATTGTTCTTTGCGTGTGGGAAAAATGGCTGCCATACGCAATATGAAACATTCTACTTCATTCTGCAGTTCGAGCAGTAAACGACTGACAAGCTCGTTGGGAAAATGCTCCGAGATGCCTACAATAGCTGCCGAAAATTCAGCATAACGGCGTGTGATCTGTGGCGGTAAATAAAATTTTATTTCCGTTAGTTATAGTGTAGGTAAAATATATATTTTGTTTACACTAACATAGTGTGGTCCCATTTCCTTGCTGAATTTAGTAGGATCACAATCACGTATGCTTTGTATATTTAAACGGAATACATGATCAAAACGTGGCCAAATTGCAGCTTGCAATGAGTCCCAGTATCTGTTTAATAGTTTTTAATTAGAGTAGTTATGTTGTAGCTATTAATTAGACAATAAAATGTAATTATTTTAAAACATTTCACTTACTTATCCAAAGCGGGTACGCAGCGTTTGTGACACATTAGTTGATAGCGAAATATTAATTGTATGCAAAGAAACATGGCAATCGTGTCGAAGCAGTCCTGTATATTGGTCTCCAAGTTTTTCTAAATTTATAGAAATTAATTTAGTTAAATAAAAATAATTATAATTTTGTTAAACATACAATCATTAGCGTTAGCGTCTTGCCCATTATCTGGTTGAAGAGATCTTGCGCTTGCGTGCCGCGCACCATAAAAAATTCCGTAACAAATAAATACTCACGGCAAGCATTGTCCACAAGTGCATATTGCTCGGAACGGAATAAAGCTTCGAAGGTGTACTGCAAGTAACGAAAATTATAAAATCTAATAAATAATAAACGCATTTTTATCGCACCCTATTTTTCAACTGCGCATGCGGCACAATTATAGGCGCTTCCAATTGCTGGTTAAGTATTTCGCCGCGTTTGCCAATTGTAAAAATTGTGCTTTTATGTTTTAAACTTGTCGTTTTAGAGAATAATCCTTTTGAGACATTATCCTCTATACCCATAAGATCATCTTTCGTGCAAGATTCCTCAAATTTCAAACTAGTCAAACGTGAAGAGTAACTCTGCAATTAAGTTCATAGGCAAGTGAGAATAAAAATCTACGATAACTAATATAAACCGTGATTTCTCTTACCTTGAAATAACTGTAATAGATTTTACTCATCGTATCGATGTACTCGCTGCAAATCTCTTGCGCCACTTGCCTTTCATTTGACAATATAAATTCGAAAAAGAATTTATGCTTCAACATGGCATTTTGTGGAATTTGATAGTTGGTCATTGGTTTGCGGAATTTGTAAATTTGTTCTAGCAAGTAGGTTCTTATCTTTGACATCGCCTTCAAACGCAGTTTATGCAAAACTTCACTAACATCTCCCGTCGCTTTGGACTCTTTGAAGCTTAACTCCTTTACTAGTGAAAGTTTATGATTCAGCACATTTAGTTGTGTGCCAAAATCTTTTTCCGTCACAGGTGTTTCCATTATAATTGCAATCATCTCCTCAGATACGGCCATATCTTCTATGAATTGTGATAGTTGCGCCTTCACTGATTGCCGATTTGTTAGCTGCACCGACATTGCCACCGACTTTTTCTGCAGCTGTGTTATTTCACTACTTATATTGCTGAGTACGCTTTGGAAATTCATTAACATTGTTTCCATGCGCTCCAACACGTCATCACACTCACCAATCTGGTTATGTAGACTAGCTATATTTTGAGATTCCGCAATGTAGTCTTCAATGGACTTGTTTTCTACATCTTTAAATTCCTTTTCAATTTGACGCGAATACTGCCGTAGGTCTGTGGTATTTTTGAGTATTTCACGTACCTCTTCATTGTCCAGCTGTTCCGTTATATTGGACTCCGTCGTAGACATATTTTTTAACAAATTTTCGCTGAATATATGTACGCGAGACCGCTTTTTATTCGTGAAAATTTGTTTATTATTACATATCAGCCGAGAATGTAAATTAATTCATTCTCTGCTAACAGCTGTTTGGCAGTGCAAGCGGACTGTTAGAAAATATTGCGCAGTAAATGTGCAAGTATGCTATTGCTTTTTGTTTCATATAATTTTTTATTAATGAAACAAGTATGTATCGTTAACTACAAAAAAAGTAAAAAACAAACGATTACTAATTGTAATTATTATAAATTTATTTTATGCGTTATAATGAATTAGTTATTTGCTCAATATAAAGGAAAATGATGTGGCAACCATATGCTCACATGACAATTTATATTCAGTTATTCCGGTAAATTGGAAATGTATTATAAAACGTTATTCAAATATTTGCAGGTATTGTAAGGTAGAGGCACATGCATTGTTTATGCAAATTGCGTATATTTATCTATAAAAGTATGTAAAGATGAACTACGGATTGGCAACCAGTGCAATAATAACGATCACGTCAAATGTTTGTTGCCTACAAAACTCTTCAAATGTGATACTCATACGCCCTGATCTGCTATGAACGGAAATGTTTGATGAGTAATTCTTAAGCCTTGTGAAATTATTTTTAAACAATTATATAACATTACTAATAACTGATGATATAATATGTAACTGAGGGCGTATAATACGATCGAAAATAAACGACGAAGGTGTCAGTTAGAAGTTGTTAGCGACAAGAAAAAAGTAAATAAGCTTAACGGAAAATGCGGCAAACAAGGATTATTAAATGTAATAACCTGTAAAACCACTTAAATTAATTAACACTGGTAGTAATAATTTAAATATTGCAATAAAAGAAAAAAGACGCACATGTGCAGCCAAAAATAAAAAATTTCACTCTAAATTTCTTCTAAACAAATATCACATGTGGCAATCATGCGTAACGATTTTATATACATACATACTTATGTACATAAATACATGCTTAATGATTAGCAACTGCACGTGGTCAAAATTATAAAATGGACCGAATTATAAAATTAAGTATTTTTGAAGCGAAATTATACACATATGTACATGTATGGACTTATAAGTTGGACCAAATTCATTGAACTCAGTCAAAGCAGCCGATGTCATACATCTGAATATGTATGTATGTATATAATGCGCACATGTGTATTATTCTATTTACATACATACTTGTATATGTATATACATATACATATATCTAGCTATAACGTAACTTTATCTTCATTCCATGTTATCGTATGGTTTACCAATCAAAAAGTGAAATTCCTTTATATTTACACACGCTTTATGTTATAGTAAAAAATCAACAACAACAAAATGTAAAAACTGATTGCTGACGCTTATGTGTATTTGTTTAAACAATTCGTAAGTTCATTGTATGTAAGCACGTATATGCATACACACAGTGCTTTAATGTCCGTTGGTATTGTGGAATCTGCCGGGATTGCAACTAGCGGCAAATAGTGGCATGTTTAACACAATAATAAGACAATTTACTATATTAAACCAAAATGCTAACAATAATAACAAGGCTACGGAAGTTTGGCACAACAAACGCCAACGAAAGTGCACTAAACGAGCAGACAGGCGCGTGCTTTTTCGCAGGTGTGTGCAGGTGAAAAATGCTCACGCACACAAACTCAGCTAAATGTATATGTATGTATATGTGTATTGCCGCTTCCGACCTACGAGCCTCCATCAACGAACTATGCGCACAGTGGTCAGAATTGTTACTTCTCTACTTCTGTCTTTACACTTTTTTCGTATTTTAGCACTTTGCTCGCATTTAAATGCGACAACAAAAACGTTTACTAATAAACAGTAGCAGATGTGTGTAGTTGTGTTTGTAGGCAAATGTGCGCAGACCGTAGAAATGGTAGCATTTACAGTCTGCAGTTTACGGACGGACATTAACGTGGTGCGTACTTCTCTTTTTATATACATATATGTATATACATATTTCTCATTTTTCATATTTTCACAAGTGTTAGTTTGCAGCCGTTTAAATGGGGCTTAAGAAAGTATGAATATTATATTAACAAATTTAGTCATAAACACGAGCGCGGTTTCTTGTAAAATCATTCATGCCTTGGACAGCATACGCAACGGCCCGGCGCGCAATTTAACGGTTTTATCATTGGATTAACGTAAAGAGGATAATTCGGTTATTAAAAAGGAGTATGACGAACGCTTACGGTTGAAAATAAAACTTAGCCGCTATTGTGCGCTAAAGAATTTCGAAACAGATAACGGCAACTGTAATCGGTGCGTGGTTTAAAATAATTTTTCGTTATTATTTGGACGTGCATTAGTGCATCTATATATATATATATATATATATATACGTGTGGTAGTGTTCGAGCTAATAGATAAAAATGCATTTTGAAATATATGCGCTGGTGATATTTGGATTATTTTACTTTTCGGAAGGTACGCATTAAAACCGATTGTATGCAAATTGATAAGTGAACTGTGAAAATAATAAAACTCTGAAAAAGTGCACAAGGAAATATATTATAAAACATGCTATAAAATATAACAGATGTTACAAAAAGGAACGACATATTATTTTTAACGTTATTGAAAGTGTTTTATGAAATAAAATAAATAACATATATATATAAACAAGAAAAAACGTAACTTCGCCTGCATCGAAGCTATAATACCCTTCACAGTTGCATTTCTTATGACATTAAAGGGTATAGAAAGATCTTTATCTTAATTTTGATCGGTCAGTTTGTACGGCAGCAACATACTATAGTAGTTCGATCTGAACAATTTGTTCGGAGATTGTAGCGATGCTTTGAATAATATTGTAATATATGCCAAATTTCTTGAAGATAATTTGTCAAATAAAAATGTTTGATTAGTCAGTTTGTATGGCAGCTATATGCTATGGTTGTCTGATCTATATAATTTCTTTGGAGATTGCATTATTGCCTTAGAATATAACTCATGCCAAATTTTGTGAAGATATTACGTCAAATAAAAAGTTACCCATACAAGTACTTAATTCCGATTGTTCAGTTTGTACGACAGCTATATGCTATAGTGGTCCGATATCGGTCGTTTCGACAAACGCGCAGCTTCTTAAAGGGGAAAAGACAGGTGAAAAATTTCAGATCGATAACTTAAAACCTGAGGGACTAGTTTGTATATATACAGACAGATGGACATGGCTAAATGAACTCAGCTCATCATGCTGATCATTTATGTATACATTTTATAGGGTCTCCAACGTTTCCTTTTGGGTGTTACAAACTTCGTGGCAAACTTGATATACTTTGTTCAGGGTATACAAATAAAAAATGCCATGTTGTGGGAATATTTTTTTGTACCTGATTCAAAAAATAAGCCCTGCGGAGAATAGAAAGTTCTGACTAAGCGGAATAACAGCAATTTCACCCAGTGCTAATGAAAAATCGAAAAGTGCTTCAAATGCCAGTATACTTTATTATGCTCAGCATCTAACAAAGGCCCAATGAGATTGAAGGATCAGCTCTCAAATAATATAAAATAGAGTCATAGGAGAAGTAGAGCACTTAACTGTCCTAGTGAATTATTGATATTGTTAGATAGTTTATCACAAGTTTTGAGACGCTTTTTACGAAATTAAACATATTTTTTAAGTAAAAAGGACTAAATTTATGATGAAAATTTATTTTCTGAGTTTTTCTGAAAGCTTCACGGAATAGAGACCTTCCAACGTTTCCTTGCTGCTTACCTAGTGGTGAGCGCTATTAAAAACCCTTTTAGATGTCTAAATGTCTGATCGAACTCAGGTCCCGCTAAATCACAAGATCCATACGCGATATGCCTGCCTTACAAAGCGGTTAAATTTTATCGACTAGCTAGATTATACTGACATTTTTCCAACAATAAATTTCATTAACGCCTCTAACCCTCTAATGCTTACGTCCGCCGTTAACTACTATCTGCGCCTTTGCTACACTATTGCTCAATTGAGCACACAGCTCGATTCTGCATATTAAATCTATAAATAACTAAATCACTATCACTTTTTCTCTCTTTTCGTTAGGCAAGCCATGCCCGGAGAAGACGCGTCCACACAAAACGCGTTGCGAAGCGTATTACAAATGCTTTGAGCTACCTTCTAAGCGTTATGTTTGGGTACCCGAAAAATGTGAATCGGGCCTAATATATGAACACAATCTTAGACTATGTGTATTGCCCGACGATGATTGGGAATGTGCACTTGGAGTTGACACACGAGGTAGCAAGCTAGAAGCTAATGCAGGTGTTAAGCCGACGACGACGACGATGACGACGACAAATGAAACACAAAACCACAAACAAATAATACCAACAAATAAGCTGAAAAATGCAGATCTACATATAATAAACAATAAGCACGATAGAGGTGATGACACAGATGCTGCAATATCCTCGCTAAAGGAAGGACATAATGGCAATGATGTGGAGGTTGTAATACAAAGCCATATAAACAGCGAAGAAAGGGAGGAGCTACGTGATGACATTGAAATTGAGTCTAGTGGAGATGGTGTTGGGGAGCTAATGGAAATTGATGGTTTTTTGCAAGTGGAAAATCGTGAAACCGAAGAGCACGAAGGTGAGGAGCACCTCATCGAAGATGATGAAAACGAAATAAAGCCGGAAACATCGACGAAAAAGTCAAAAATCGATCCGAAATTAACAGCGCACTTACAGCGTTTGTCACAATTGATTGATGGATTGAAAACCCAATATCAGAAGGAGGACGAACCGCAAATGGAATTGCGACCCGATCAGTTAAATGCTTTCCTCGCACATTTTAATATACAAAACAAATTTAGTTTGATTAAACCTACTTTTGAGGCGAATTCAAAAGAAAAAACCGACACAACAACAACTACTGAGGCACCAGAGTCTACGACAACATATGACAAATATGCAATGACTTACAAAAATAAGACACTTTTACAAGAACATTTAGATAACAAACTTAAACCGGAAACAAAGGTTGTACTCACCAATGCGCTGCCGAAACGTTACGATACCACAGGCTATTCGAACTCGCAAATTGTCGTAAATCGGCCCGAAGGCTCAGTGCTCTTCACATTGCCGCACTACGGTAATGACCAGAGCAATTATGGGCATAACACGCCGAAAATATCTGAGGAAACATTAAAAACCGTATTAGAATTGTCTAAACAAATGATTGCCACACAAAATGTACCGAAAATAATACCGAACGCCGGTTATTACGCGCAGCCACTAATACAACCGCTTTTCTTGCCTGCTTCAGCATTTCAAGCACAGACGCAGACGAATCCTTTTGCGGCATATTTTAATGGCAACAATAACAACAATAATCAGCAAGTAGATTATGAGGATAACGATAACAAATATGGTCAGTTCACCGGCACTTATAACAATCAGCAAAAACCGCTACTTCGACCGGCTAGTAGTTATAGTAAGCCCGGTAATACCATCATACACAACAATGTCATACCGGTGCATCTGTTGTCCACAAATTCGGGTGAAAAGGAAATTGTCGACAGCTACGGGCAGAGCTTAGGCCTTTATCCGCCACTTAATGCTGGCAATAACAACGGTTATCAACAGCACTACGGTCCAACACACAATTTCGTAGATCATACATTTCTAGCGAGTTTCACCACCGAGCGTCCACAAGTCTCCACTACACCAACGCCCAGCTACGCTGCACAATATGCACCGTCATATGCCACAGATTTGGGTGCGACCACCGCACGTCCCAATGACTATCAACCAACATCGCCAACCCTTACCGAATACTTTTCACCGAGTCCACATTTAAACGAGAACAATGTTAATAAACTGTTTCAATCAAACGATCGCTATCCGACTGTACAATATGATGATTTGCCACGCCCATTAAATTTAGGACGCCCCTCACTCTTCGCGCCACACATGGACACACATAAAGTCAAATTACGTCCAAATGGTCACAAAATCGAGAGCATGGAAATCGAAACGGACGATTATAATGACAATCAAGCGCGTCCACTGCCACAATTGTTCACCTACAATTATGACAACGATAAAACGGATATAAGCAATCAATATGAGGAACCGAGCTACAGTAGTGGCACCGGTAGCAACAAACACTCCTATATGCCGCGTCCAACTGCAGGCGCTGCCGCTACACGACCCACTTACACAAACGCCGCCAATAAGTTGAAACCATACAACACACACACTTCAACATCTTTCAGCGATGGCTCACAACTGGTCAATATGGGTGGCAATTTTGTTAGTTACGATGTTTTTCGAAACACAATACTACCGCTACTTGGACACACGCAAGCGCTCAATGAATTAAATAACGTTGAAGTCATCACTTGCACCACCGGCGTACGCCAACCGAACACCACCGACTGCACGCGCTATTACGTCTGCAGTAAGAAGGATGGCAAAGTGCTTTCCTACTCATGTCCACCATATACCGCTTTTAATGCACAATCGCGCATTTGCGATGCACAAACGTACGCTGCATGCACGCCCGAAGCGCTTATCAGCAGCTTTACCGTAACGGAGAATAAACGCTTGCAATTGGAAGCGTATAAAGCGCTGCAAGATGCCAAACGCCGGCAAGAGCAGGCGCTTAAAGCACAAAATATTGTAAATCTATTGCAAAAATATGGTGGTCAAACGCAAGCCTCAATGGTGGACGCTAACGAAGATGCACAGGGCGATGATAGCAATGAGAAGAATATATTGGATGCTTATGTGCAGCAAGCGGCCGCAATGAATGTCTACAACACAACGCCGAAGCCAACTGCGGCGCCTGTAAGGAAGCGTAAATATTATTGCAAAGAAGGTGATAAAATTGCAGATCAAACGTCGGCCAGTAATTATTTTGTTTGCTATAAGAATGCGCAAGGCATGATGAAGGGCCACAAGATGAGTTGCACGAAGAATTTGATTTTCTGCTCGAAAAATTCCATGTGCACGCTGCCGATTAAATGCGCGTAGGTGAAACTAAAAACCGCCAAGTTAGTGACATGAAGAAAGAAATAGAAAAATAATGTAGGAAGTAGAGAAATACGTTGACTTAGCTGGGCGAATGCAGCGGAAGCGGAATAATGCAAAAGGAACTGTGTATGCAGGCAAATGTCAAATTTCAGTGTTGCTACTTTTCTTTTTGATTGATCTAATGCTGATTTTTATACAAACCGTATTTCCGTACATTTTTTAGCCTACAATTAACGACTGCAAATATTTTTGCGAGTTAAGATGAAGGTTTTAGTGTATAAGTGTTAAGAAATACTTTAAACTATAGGAAAAAATGTAAAAAATTTTAAATAACAATGCCAATTTGTAAAACAATAAAAATAGCATATATTAGACTATATTTTGTATAAATTTCATATGTCCTTAAAGGATAAATGACAAACTTACTATTTTGCCAAATTTATTTACACTAGCTTATAGACTATTTATTAAATTATTTTAAAAAATGCATATTTAAAAATTTCTATATTATAATAAGTGCGACAAATTTTTGTACTACTTTATTAAACCATATGTACTTATGTAAAATGCATATGTATAATAAAAATGTACATACAAAAATAAAATAATATAAAAAAACGAATAACTAAAAAGAAATTTGTTTTATATTTTAATGGTTTTAGTAGATTTCTTTTCGCTTTTCATGCGCATAGTACAAACTGACCCAATGAACCCTTAAACTAGTTTGTAACATTGACCAAGTAAGTACGTACTGCATGCTCATTACTAAGATTTACTAAAAAAACATATTTAAATAAATACTCACCAGTTTGCATGTATGTATATAAATATTATATGGTCAAAAATTAAACAAAAAATTTCGTTTTTTTACTCCACTATTTTACTTGTTCGTTATATATAGTGACAACTCGTTACATTTTTTGACGCATCACATACCGGTTTGTAGCCATGTCGACAAGGCCATAAAATAAATAAGGAACAAAACAAAATAAACATACAACTTTGAAATCATTTGCTGCAAAAAAAAGAAATTAGAAAAGAGATAAAATGTCGGAAAGACAACAAGAAATGCAACAAAAAAAATAAATTTAAAAAAATTGCCAACAGTAGTAATGTGCTAAGATTTTTGTCTGTATGTATGTATGTACACGTGGTAAATTTCACTTTTTATTATCAAGTACGCATCTCTGACATCGGCACATTAATACGCGTACATGAATGCACGTTTTAAGCTTTAATCAAATTATACAATGAATGAAATGTTTAAACTTACAAAATTCTCATTTTCAAATAGGAAATGAAATTTCGTAGCCACCATATATTTATAAAAATGCTTGTTATGTACATATGTATTTGCACTTTTTTGAAGCGATAAGTAGTTAATAGTTATATACAAATGTACAAAAGTGCAATAATACGATTTTTTGTTTTTTATTTTTTAAAATATTATTTTACTTAAGTTTAGATTTTTTAAATATTGAAAGTAATTTTTATTGAGCTACTAATGAGGTTTTTACTAATTTTTCTCTTTTCTCTCATTCAGATGTGTTCATACTTTGTATAAATAAAATATATTAATAATTTCAGTTTAAAAAATATATATACCTTTTTAATACACACCTATACATACTTATAAGATGACACATAAAAGTAATAAACATAAATACATAAACTTCTTTTTTTTTAATTTCACTACCTATAGTGGTCTAACAACATAATAAATATTTTTATTTATTTTATTTAGTAATTAAATTATATTTTTGCACGCTGAAATGTTATTTAATTAATTTCATACTCGTCCAACTATTACACAATACAATTTAATTGCTTTCGCATTTATTTATATTTAGTTGTAGTACTAACTATGCATGTACGTATGTAAATGCGTGAAAACTTAACTTGCAACAACATTTAGTTAAAATATTGCGCAATATATTTCAACAATTAATGCAATCCTTTCACATTGATAACGAATGGCAGCACCCTTGCGAACGCACAGTAAAGGAAATAATTCAATAGTTCCTTGTTTCCGTTATACGCGCAAAATTTTCAGTTCAGCCGTCATTTTAAATAACCATCGCGTCATTTGCTAGTACTTCATGGTTTTCATAATTTTATAATAAATTAATCATAGTTAATGCTAGGAAAGTGTAAGAAAAGTGTTGTTGGAAGCGTAGGGCATGTTTTAAAATTGAAATTTTAAAAATAAGTTAAAGTATAGTGTGGAAAATATGTGTGCAAATCTAGCTGCCATGACAGTGGCAGTAGTGTGTGATAAAGAAAAGTAAATATCGGGTAATTTGTGCAATTATTATATCATAAAGTGCTTTGTTAATATTTAAATATGTGGTGTAAATGTTCAATTAAAAGTTTTCACATATTTTAAGTTATAAATTTAATCAAATAATGCAAATCAAAGTCAATCGGCAAAATGTGCCAAAGAAGCCCCAACATGGCGGCTGCAGCATTCGTATAGTGTAATATATGTACGAGTATGTATACAATGAGAATGCAATGTAAGTGTAATGTGTTATGTTTGTTTGCGTAAAAGGGTGAATCTGATAATAAAAAATGTGTTTAAAAAGCTCAAAAGTGTACATTAAATTTATAAAATGTAAAAGTTAAGTAAATATTACAAAAATATGTTAAGCCAAATTCAATTTCTTTAATAGTAAAATATATTATTACTAAAAAGCAAAGAGGTGAAATGAAAGTGAAAAAATGCATCTCATAAAATTCAATTCGTTTGAATGTGAAATATATTAATTTATTTTAATTATTTAAGAAGAAAATGTTATTATATAAAAAAGTGAAGGAAATAATAAAAAATGTCTTCAAGCAAATGTAGTTCGTTAAATAGTGAAATATTTCATATTTATTAAAGCAAAAAGGTGAAGTAAAAAGTAAAAAAAGTTGTTTGGTAAATTCAGTTCGTTTAATTGAGAAATTTATCATTATATCATACTAAAAAGTTATAATATAAAAATATATCAAGTATTGTAAATAGTAAATAAGGCGTGTAAAATCAATTCATTCAATATTGAAATATGTTATATTTATTAAATAAAGAAAAGGTAAATAAAATTTTAAATCAGGTTAGATAATAGTGAAATATTTCATATTTATTAAAGCAAAAACCTGAAGTAATAAGTAAAAAAATGCATCTAAGTAAATTCAATTGTGAATCATATTATTTAATTATATATATTCATAACAAAGTGATGTAAATAGCAAAAAATGCGTTAATCAAATATTAAAAAATGCAGAGGAAATATAACAAAAAATTAGATATTATATATTATATTTATTAAAGCAAAAAGATGGAGGAAAAAGTAAAGGAATTGTAAACTCATCTTCTTTAATAGTGACTAATGATGTTTTACATAATATGATTGCTTTTGTCGCAACATCTGCTTCATTTTCCTGAAATCTAAATGCTTGATCGTAAACTGGCGGAAGGTAAGGTGAGTGCACTTCAATATAAAACCGAAAATATTTTATAAGCATATTTTAAACAGTTAAGTAATGAAACTGTTTCGACATATATTACTATAAATTCATTCAATACATATACATGTAATTCATATACCATACATATATATGTATGTAAAATCAGTATATACATATGTTTAAATATATATGTATGTATGTATATACATTCGTATCTTATAGTAAATACGTTTCAACTGTAATATGTATGTGGTCTCAACAACGTTCAGAAAACCAAACGTGATTGTTCAGTTAGCTATTCAAGTGTGACTTCAATCACTTATCCGCACTTACGAGTTGACACACGACTAAACCGTTAGCCACACGACCACTTTATACACAAACATATTTGGTGGTTTTTGCAGTTAGTATAAAGTCCTAATTTGTTGTTTAACAATTTTACTAATTTTAACATTTTCATCAAATAAACATACATACATACCGAAATGTTTGTATATGGAAGTATATTTGTATTTACACAGATTGCGATTGCTTTATGTTAGTCTAAGCTGAAGTGAAATTTTCTTTTACTACAAGTCAAAGTTTTTCTCTTTGACACAGGTCGGCTTTACTTTATTTCTATTATTTTTTTGTTTTTGTTTGGTTTATTTATTTTATGGGTATTTAGTATAATTACATGTATATAAACTCGCTCACCTTAGATGTAATAAAAAAATGTGTTGTCGTCGTGAGCTTTCTGTTTGCACACATACATCCACATGTATGTATGTATATAACTATATGCAGCTCTGTGCGTAATATGAAATATGCGTTCCATTGATAAGAGTGAAAGGGTGTTTTAATATTTGCGAAATATTTCTGAAAATCTTTTAAGCAAACAAATGGAATTCAAATAATAAATAAGTGTTTAAGTGTAAGTAAGTTTAAAGTACCAGTATTAACACGATTGCTTGAAACCTAAAAAATTTGTTGAATAAAGTTTTGATTTGCGAATGCTTAAGCCGGAAGTTATATATTATATGAAAGTGTTTGTAATTGATTTATATGCCCTACAAGAATCGGCTGATGAGTTCATCAATATACTAACATTTTTTACGTCAGACGTCCCGGGTTTTGCTAAAAAGAGATACCTACGATTTATGGTATAATGCTTACTATAGCTTTACATATGTAAAGATGCAACAGCTGAATTCTTTAGTACTCTCAGCACTGGCAGTCAAATCAACGGTAAAATTACTGTGAATGTCATAAAGAAAACTTAACAGTCGTTCGGACGTGGCTTGAAAGTTTTAGCAACCCAAAAGACATCTAGTATGTCAAATAGTCTATTGATTATACACTGAACAGGGTATTTTAACTTTGTAACATTCAGAAGGTAACATCGGAGGGTCTATAATATATATAAAGTAAATATAATGATCAGCGTGACGAGCTGAGTCGATTTAGCCACATCCATCTGTATATACGCGAACTTGTCCCTTAGTTTTTGAGATATCGATCTGAAATTTTGCACATGTCCTTTTCTTCTCTCTCCCCAAGAACCAGCTGATTTGTTGGAATCGCCGACATCGGACCACTATAGCATATAGTTATCATACAAATTAAATTTTCAAAATCAAGGCCTTGTTTGTAAATCTTTTTTTATTTGACAAAATATCTTAACCAAATTTGTCACGGATTATTGGTTAAGGCAATTGTACAATCTCAACAAATTTTTCCGATCGGATTACTTGACATACAAGCTAACCGATTAAAGTCAAGTTCTTGTATAGCTTGCTAATAAAGCACCTTGTACAAACTGCAACACTAAAAACGCGCACTTTTCGTCTACTTACAAGTGTATGCGCAATGTTTCTGTGAGTTTACCCACCGTTGCTGGCATACTTGGGACGCCTAATTTATGTGCTGGTTTTACTTTCAAGTGTTATGACCTAACACATATTAAGTTGACTAAAAAATAGTGTGTTTGGTCTTTTTTTGCTTAAATCTCCAATTCAAAATAAACATATTTCACACCATACATATTTGTTGTTTTAGCTTAAGCTTGACAATCTCAAATATTATATGGTAGTGCGTACTACTCTACCACTTTTCACAGGGTAGCGTATTTTGAATGCGTTGGTTTTGCTTTTCTTAATAAAAATAAAAGTGACTATGTTGATCACATGAAGTTGTGATCTCTTGAGTGCCTTGAATGGGCAGCATCAGCAGCCTCAGCAACGCATTCAAAATGTTTGCAAACACTTTCTTTCTCACTTCCGTTTAATAATTAACTATTTCATAATCGCTGCGAAAATAATATATTAATGTTAATTATCATAATATATGACAGCACGAACTTTGTCAAGGTGGATTGATAATGATGCCAACTGCTCCTCGATGGCTGATCACTCAAGCATAAAGCTAAAAGATATACTTACACATGTTTACCAAATAATTGTTTTATTTGTAGAGTGAGCATGCGCGTGCATATTTATTTGCCTCAAAATGTTTTTCTTTTAATTTGGCACTCATCCTGAATGATAATATATGCACATAGGTAGTGTGGATAGGCAAGTATTTGTGTAACTCGTCATATAGGTACAACAATATATCTAATCATTGTGCTAACTGTATTTGGCCCACTTTTTGCATACCCTAATTTGTGATTCACGCGTAAAACTCTCACTTGCCATATATATGTTTATGTGCATGTGCACGTTGTACATGCATTTGTGACGTATGCACGTGCGTATGTACGATATACTCCAGATATATTGTAATGATGAAGTTCTACTAATTTCTGCATGCTGCTAGATCGGCAGTGATACATGTTCTAAATATGCATTGCATACTTATGTAAGTATTAAAGTAAATTTAAAGTGCAGTAGTGTTGGTAAAGGCCAGTGGTGTAATGATTTACTGTATTCCCTGAACAGGTTAATTAAGTTTGCCACTGCCAGAAGAAAACGTCGGAGGCCCTATAAAATATATATTATGTATACATACTTAAATGATCAGCATCACGAGTTGAGTCTTCATATCGAGCGTACATTTTGCACAAATCCTTCTTTTCCCAAAAAGCTGTTCATTTGTCGGAATTGCCGATATCGTACCACTCTTGCAATAAAAACTGAACTAAAATTAATTTTTTTCTATCCCGATGATGAGATTAAAAGTATTATTTTTTCATTTGAATGAACGCGAAAAAATGTTAATTCTAAAATAAATTATTTTTTGAATTCTTATTTATATGCTTGAGATTAAATTTTTTTTTTCGATCCGGAAGATGTTGGTTTCAACCAATTTTTTTATTTTTTTATTCTGGTATGCGGGATTTAATTATTTTTTAATTTCGTATCCGAGATTAAACATTTTTTTTTATTTCTTAATCCCGATTTTAGGATTACAAAATACAAAAAATTTAATTCAAATTTGAATTAACAGTTAAGAAGTATTTTTAATGCATTTTTTGCAACCCTGGTCAATGAACATCGATGGAAGCTGCTGAGAAAGTTTGAGAGCCACTGGGAACCACTTAGAACCTCTGCGATCCGTTGAGCACTTCCTGTAGTTTATTTCTTTATTTATTGTATGAAGAAATTCATCATGGGCGAGACCCGATCTATCACTTTTTTTTAGACCACTGCTTTTATTCCAACATATTTTTCCTTTAATATTCGTGTTTTGGATTATTGCCTTTTGAATTATTTTCATAAGCACTGTAGTGTTCAATAAGAAAGCAATCCTGTTAAAAACGTGCTAGTGTCATCTTTGTTTATTATTTCAAAGTTGTTTATAAAAAGAATGCTCAATATATATTTTTTTATGAAAACCTCTTCTTCACTATGAAGTCGTTAGAAAAGTTCCGTAACTAAATTATTTAATCGAAGAATACTGTAGGTTGTAGAAAATTATTGAATATGACAAAGTGAGTCGTTACTTTTTGGAATGCATTTTTTAGACAAAAATTATAGAATTGTTGACCCAGAACGTAAGTCTGAGAGGGTTTTGCTGTTTATTATGAAGTAAGTCTTTTCTAGTAATTAACCTTTCCGAGCATTGAACCTTATGACCAAGGTTGTGCAATTTTTATTCTGATTTTAGAATTTTTTTACTATTTTTGAGATATCTTCCGCTAGAAAATAAGTAAACAAAAAGTAAAAATGCAATTTTTTTCATTAGATTTCATTTATTTAAGTTCAAGTTTTAGCTTTCATTTACTTTTTTCTCACTTTATTATAATTTTGCAACAACTACATATGTATGTATGTATGTATAATAAATACTCTTTATGCAAATGCATTCAACATGGTAACCAACTACTTAAATAACTAAAAATATGAAATTATATATAAATATCATGATTAAGATCTTCGTTAAATTATTCAGGATTTCTATTAGTTTTCCTACACTTATTACTTGTATTAATAGCCTTACAAAAGCTTTTAATATATGTAGAAAATATAATAAATAAATAAATTGCAGTTTTGACAAATAATTCTAGGTTTTTTCGGCGCACATCAATATATGCTAAGGCTAAACGCATAGTGGAACGATCTAAGCAATTATATATCATTGTATGAGTAATATTGCTCAGAGTATAGCGCTATTTTAAAATTTATTGTTTTTATTTTCTTTTCTACTAATTTTCTCTCCCCACCATTATGCGCTTAGCCTTAATCGCATGAGCGAGTGCTGATTGATTTTTTAGTTTTGATTGCTATTGAACATTAAGTTTTCCTCTCTCAATTTTTGCTTTTGCTGATAAATACGTCAATTTGGTCTGACTTTCTTAGTTTTTGTACATAAAAACGTACCCTTTGATAAATAAATATATGTATTTCTCTTTTTTGAAATTCTCACCCGCAATACTCAATAGTTTCAATTTCATTAGAGATGTTAGCATGCAGTTGAACTTTTTCTAGGATTTTCTTTTCACTTGATTTTTTAAATTACAAATATCACAATACTTGATGATGATATCGGTCTTTTTTTATTACTTATTGCTTTTCTAGTTATTTATTTAACTTATTTACGCTAAATATATTGCATTTCAATATGAATTTCGAAAGTTAAATAAATTTTTGCGCAACATACACATTCTCTTTGGAATTTACCACACTTATTGTTATATAACAATTCATTAAAGGAACACAATTACTGATTTAGACAAGTGTTTAACAACTACTTTCATACACATATACTTATTGTTATGTATGTATCTGACTAGTTTTACATAGCTCTAACGGATACTGAATGTCGACAGTATGGCAGAGACGCTTAAACCATGCCAAAACCTTCACTGCCCTCACTTATAGCCAGTAGAAGTGCCTTCTCAAATTGTTCGTAACTCTCGTAGTCGGGCAGGCAGAGCTGATTGAAGCTGCAGTATAGAAAATGTGCAAAAAAATCAGAAATGCGTACACAAGAAAAAATTTGCTCATATTTTCTTAAACTCACCATGTGTGCGCTGTCGGTAGATTACCGAATGTCGGCGCTGCAGTTATTTGAAATTGTGGATTCAATTCCTGAAAACCGCCTGGTGGCAATTGTGAACAACCTGTAGTGAATTGCAGCAAGCGTGCCATTTCAGTTTGACTAAAATTACTAACAGCCGCCCAGAACCACGCCAGGACACGTCGAAACTCAGCAGAATTGCCATTTATGATATGATGAGCCTTGAAGTCGGCTATTGAATATTCGCCGGTGCCGCACATCAAAAGCTGTTGTAAAAAAAAACCACAATTGAAAACTCGCCTTTGCTTGGCCTTCAATAAAAACTCACCTCTAATTCGTTCTCATCGAAAATGCTCAGCAAATTATCCGGTATAATACCATTTAGCCCCTTTAGGAATGCATCTACTTCTTCTTTAACGCTACTGCAGAGCCGTTGTTGCGCCAAAGCGTCAAGATATTGATTTTTAGTCGCATTCGATACGCGCACCTTCGAGCCATTCGGCGTTAGCTCAACAGTTTTACTCAATTGCCCACTGGTATCGTAGACTTCTTCGACGAAATACAAGTCTAATGAATCGGTTGCATCTAAATCTGTATCTAATATATATTTGATTTTGGATAGATACAAATCGGGATCGTCTTGTTCGAAGTACTAAAGTGTAAGAAAGATGTGTTTATAAAATATAAATTTACCATTAAAATTATTTTCACTTACCTTATAGTGCACGCGCAAACCGATGAGTTGCGCCAGAAATGATCTGGTAAAACGTGCTCGCACCAGCTGCCGATAAGTGCCACCCAATGCACTTTCGTACAAACATTTACCCACAATCTTGCCGGCAAATTCGAAATGTTTCAGTTTGAGATGTGATGGCCGATTTGGATTTGGATGTACCAGCGCTTGATGTTTGTCATGAAATGTGCAGAAGAGTCCGCCGCGTGGATCGAATAATGCGCTGCAAACCAATTCGAACCATTCACGCCGCAGTCCACCCCAATCGATGCCTGTTTGTAAGCAGAAAGAAATAAGTTGATTACTAAATATATGAATCACTGATAAAATTGACTACAAGTACATGCAACAAATCAATATAGTTAAAAAATATGACAAAATTAATGAAATTGCCAAAATATTGATTTTTTTTGTCTTCCTGGTTTGACACAGATGTATAGCTGTGCCAGCTGTAATTGGTTTATCAGCATAAATCATTGACTTGACTTGATTACTCAAAAAATAGTCTAAAAGTTCGAATAAGCCTTCAAAAAGTAGTATTGTTATACATAATTTTTAAATCACTTTTTCTTTTCACTTTGAACTTCATTTTAACCTCCATCGAGAGAGGAGTATAAGTAAGTCTCTGTTTCTCTTAAAAACCTTTTACCATATTCAAATCAATAAATTCTTTCACAAAACGCATTTATTTACAAGATTCGACAAACGAAAGTGCATCACTTACCTTGCTCTCCCTGAAACGTAACCTCAAAGTTACCACACCAGTCGGATACAGAGAACCCTTTAGTGGCTTTCATGCTGCTCTCTAATATTTTTTCACGATTCACCTTCAATGCGAGCTTTTCGTGATAGTAGCTCGCATGAAATTTGCGCACTTCATGATAGAAAAAGTCCTGTTTATCCTTAAACGTTTCCGAACCACCAATATTCTTCAACAAAAAATGTGTAAAAGTTGCTGCAATAATATTGCGATCACGTGATGCTAATTCGATTTTCGGCTGGGCGCCATCATCAATTATAAATACCGGTCCATGTGGCTGTGTGGTCATTGTGGGCAAAAAATGAAATTTAGTTGACGGACACAAACGGAATGTCGCAATGCGTTTGGGTATAAATTTCAGTATCATCTCTTTAATGGTAACCTGAAAAATAAGCGAATTCTACATTTGAAAATTGACGCTGCCATATGAAGCACATTTAACTGTAAACACTCACTTGTTTGGGGCCCACATAGCAGAGGACTTTACGTGGCTTACTCTTCGGTGTGCCGTAGATGCTTAATAATTTGGCTTCATAGCAAATATTATGTTTACGTGATGCGATATTTTTATGCACTAGCGTAGTGTCACTGCCTGTGAAGCAGGGTGAGGAGCATAGGAAGTGAAAATAAATAGCAAAAGTTTACTTAATACGACTCGTGTCGACCATTCGACCTTTAATAAGTTCAACAACCATATATGTATGTACGCTTGAGCGTATATATTAGTATAACATATTAAATTTTTATTTCCGTGTTTATGAGTAATTCGCACGTGTGCGAAATGTGAAAGTGAAATACGAAATATGTGAACACCGTTAGAATGTTCAGAAACTCACCACTCAGCACGATGATGTCAAAATCACCGTTTGGCAGCTTCTGTTCAAGGTAGCTTATAACGGCACGCAGACATATTGGCTCCGGGAAAAGCGCCGTCACGGCAACACGCGTATTCACGCGGTCATAGTTGAATGCGATGGCATGATGTAGTTTTTCAATGGGTTCGCCATTTAAATCGAAAATCTCGACACGATAGCCCTGCACGAAGTAAAGTGATTTATTTAAAAAAAAAATTTCTGGTAACCACCTCCAGCGCTCACATATTTAACAATATCGATATGTATGTATATAAGGTATGTCTTTGTCCGGAACTTACCTTTACTGGATCATCGCTTTCGTCGAAATTACAAGCATTACCGAATTCATCACGCGGTTCAATGTGCAACATTGTCGGTGTACCGGCACAACATATTACTGTGCTAGCTGGACGTATGAAGCGCGAGCGACGCGCATCAATTGGTCCGGGTACAAATGTTTTGGTGAAAGGTGAACCGGAAATGTGACTGGAACCGATGAGTACAGAAATTTTATACTGTCCCGCTGTGCGTACAGTAAATTTCACTTTGGCGATATTCGCATTATTCGGATCTGTTGATGAGCCCAGCTCGCTAATTGTTACAACCTTACGTGTACCTTCGGTGACTTCGACAAAAAATTGATCTGTATCACAGATGGGATAAGGCTGTCCGTTACGTTGAAAAAAACGTACAACAAAGCACATAGTGCCACCTACTGCCGCTGGATCCTTCCAGTCCCATTGCACTTTGCAATTGGCAGGTAATAAATATTTCCCAGTCACATATTGTAGAAGTGAATGACGTGCTTCCGGCGCCAGTGATGGCTGTGTCATGGCGGCCAATGTGACAAGACCGGCCACCGATACGGATACCACTAACATGCCACCCCATGTCCAGGCATCTTGATGTTGACTGGATTTCACAACGGTTGACCAAAGTTGCGCCTTAAGTGCATCCAATTGTGCCTTGGATGTGGGCAGATTTTGTCGTGCCTGCGACCATAATTGCCAATCTTTACCGAGTATTTTTGTAGCACGTGAATCCTCCAACCAGTAGACATCTTCGAGTGATGCTACTTCGACGGCTAGTAGACGCTGATAGTGGTGTTGTAAGCGATGGTCACGTAACCATTCGCGTAAAATGAGTTTTTGTTGTAAATGTAATGCGGCGCGTTGTAAGCGTTGTTCATCGCCAGGTGGCAATTCGGGGAGACGTTCCGGATCGCCACAGCTGGACAAGGAGGAGATGCCTGCAAAAAAAAGAGAAGAGACAGTTGTGAATTGTGGTTTTCCTTCCAGATGTAAAAAAGTCGGTTTAAAGCGACAGGAGTGGTTGTTTGTTATGTTGAGTTTTACTGAAATAATCAAGCCAATTATTATATGATTACCAAACAAAGGAATATGTATCTCTTTATTAAAAGTAAGTTTAGATGTACGTAGACTGGGCGACCTTAGCGAAGCCCGTTAAAGATTGTTTAGGATTTAAAGTTCATTAATAAAGCAGCTGTTTGTTCTAAATTTTACTTAAACACTGTTTTGTGATCCATTTCTTTGAAAAGTCTTTTGGAGTATTAGAAAAAACTATTTTTAGGGTTCCCTCAATTACTACAGGCGCGTTTAGAGTTCAAATGAGCCTGTTGCTCTGTAGTTGGTTGTGGTTGTTCTGAGGTTGTAGTTTTGGCATGAAAAAACTTCTGATAAAAGCACTTCACTTGCTTTAAATGGCTTAAATTCTATCCAATTCTCCATTTGCCGAGTATCAAAACGAGGACATAGCGTGCTAGCGCAAATAAAAGGTGATTTCGGTGTACCCGAATCGTTGAAGTTTTTCATAAAGGATTTACCGAAAGAGTAATTTTGGTAATTCACAGGTTATGCAAATATTTCAATCACTACATTCGTGTTCTTACTCCATAACCATGTTATATTCAACTTTTATTACATATATCACCTACATAATAAAACTTTCTCACCCTTTTTATTGCCAATTAATTTCAAAATTATCCATAACTTTACTTAAATTTATCAGCAGCAACATCCATCAATCAAAAACAGTTTTCCGAGTCATGAATATACATTCCGTTATATACTATACTTATAAAAGTACTCATATAGCCTGCCATTCAGCCGCGAATAAAATATCACTTGATACATCAACAAAAAAGTACTTGCCAAATTAGCATGACTAAATTGTGTTGAAATTGTCGTTGGATATTGGCAGTGACATTTCCAAAACCCACCAATTGCCAATCAATTACCTTCGTTACGAATGTAATTGTAGCTTTATGTAACTACGAAATATACCGCTATTTTTTTTACCATCAAGTCAAATTTATCGTCAATGTTTTCGACATTTTATATACACATACATTCTAAGTAGTTGAAAGAAAGGTAATAAAAAATAAGTGAGGTAATTGTATACTTATTTGCTTATAAGTAAGAAGCGCAGCGCGTTTATCGCAGACGCCGATCTCTTGTATTTGGTAAAAGCCAAAAGGTGAAACTTTGCAATGGTCACCGAGGACAAGGTCGAGGTGCACGTTAAGCAGTGAATATTGTATATATGTGTATGTGTGTTTTAATATGTATTTGTGTGAGGCGTGTTAACGCAAAGGCAAAAGGCGAAATCGTCGAAAGTAACTAGCAAGAGAAAATATAAATAGTTAAATTTGTGTTTTAATGACCTCATAGGTCCCTTTGCGTAGATTAAAGAAAATATATATTATATTTAAAAATATATATATTTCCACGTTTCTATGTAAATATATGCGTCTACTCGTATACAAAATATTCAATGACTACAAATTTTTAAAACTTGATATTGGATCGAGCACTTTATTTTTTTTTCATATCTAACATATATCTGACAGTTTTCGGGTCCTACAAGTTTAAGGTCATTATCGAACGCGTAGTAGATTTTATGAGAGACCGACGCTATATAGGCTTGTGCTGAAGTCTTTGAAAATCGTAAAAAGTGAAAAAAATCACAAACCTGCGTATTTTAATTTTTTACATAAATTTATTTTGAGGTTATGGAAATAAAGTATTAACACAAAAGTTGTAGATATTTTTATTACCTACAAGCTTGTTATTTAACTTTCCATAGAACTCATAGTTTAGCCGTTTTTAACCCTTAAAAATTCAATCACCCCATCGCCTTCCTCTTTTCGAAAGATCACCTGTAAATTATATTTCCTTTATTTTGATATTTTATCTTCCTTTTGCAATGTGTTTTATACTGCTATGTATATAAATGATCAGCGTGACTAGCTGAGTAGATTTAGCCATGTTCGTCGGTCTGTACATATATACTCGAGCTATTCCGTCAGTTTCTGAGATATGGATTTTGCACACGTCCTTTTCTCATCAAGAAACTACGTATTTACTGGTACTGACGATAACGGACAACTATAGCATCTAGCTGGCATATAAACTGATCGATCAAATTTAAGTCCTTGTATGGAATACTTTTTTATTTGACAAGGTATCGTCACGAAATTCAGCACAGATTATTAGTTCAAGTTTGCTAACTATAACTATAAGACGAATCTGGGAAGTTTCCGGATTTGACTTACCGCTTCGGGTCGACATTCTTTGGGCATAATTAAATCCTAACTCATATTAGATACGTAAATTCGACTGACGGGAAATTATGCCATTTTTTACTTTCATTTGGTCAAACAAAAACTTCTCACATTCATATGTACATGGTGTTTCTTAAGAATCAGCAGATTTATGGGAGTTATTTTTAATTTAAGTATTTTTTATATTTTTTTGACTCGAGTAGTATTTTTAGCAAAATGTCTGCCATGCCAGCGAAACATACCTCTAATGGGCATATACTCTTATATAATTATATACCGAAATGAATATATACATATATAAGTACGTTAGGGGTAAGAATTAATGTGCTAACGACTAGTTACATTTGTACACATTCCACATACAGTCATATATAGGTTCATGAGAATGTACAATATATGTGTGTGTAATTGCCTGAAGTAGCAACTACCGGTCCACCATGTTGTTGCTGTTATTATAGTTATAATAGGTAGCTTGCGTGTCGTGAATTTTCAATAAGCAATAGCATACTTTTAGGCAAATTAGCAGGTAAAAAGAAAGAGAAGAAAAATGTCAGAAAAACGAAGCGTTTCCGCTAATTTTGCGTTTCATTTGCTAGAGGAGTTATAAAAAGGCAATATTTTTCTATAAGCACATTTGGAATTAGACTTACAAGTATGTAAGGGTATTAGTATGAACATGCGCAAAATTTGTTTAATTAATTAATTACAATCAAATTTTAGCTTATTAATTGAATTAATATATTTTTTAAATAGTTCTAGTTTAAGAGTTTAAGGTCCAATTTGATTTTTAGTAACACCACAGAAGCTATCTCGCATTTTTTTGATATATATTCCACTTTCAATTATATACGGTTAAGTTTCCATTTCTAGCCTAGTCTCGTCTAGTTTCATTACGTGCTCAAATTTTTTACTGTTAATCTTTTAATATCATATTCATAATTTTCAGTTTTAAGAACTCGTAAGCCAAATATGGTCTGTTAACAGACAAAATGGGAGGTACTTGGTAAGAGCTTGCATATAATCGATCAGTTTGTATGACAGCTAATCATATAGTGGTCATATTTGAACAATTTGGTCGCAGATTATACCGTTTCCTTGGACCATAATCTATACCAAATTCCGTGGAGATAATTTGTCAAATATAGAAGGGGAATATGATCCTACAAGAACTTGATTTTGATTGATCAGTTTGTATGATATCTGTATACTATTGTGGCCCGAAATCGGCGGATCCGGCAATTGAGCGGCTTCTTGGGGAGGAAATTACGTCTTCAAAATTTCAGAACCGCTCGTCACGCTGATCATTTGTATTCTTCTTCTAGGTGTTAGAAACTTCGTAGCAAACTTAATAAATTTTGTTCAAAGTATAATTATATACTACATAATAATTTACTATATCTGATTTTAAATGATAATTGGTATAATCAGGTCATAAAAAGGTCAATAGGAAGCAAAGAAAGCGCAGAGCACCTCTTGCTCGAATTCTCGCAAAGTCACCTGATTTATCTATTCAAGCGAATGCATGATTTTCGCATACATATATGTGTATGTATTTGCGTATGAGTTTGTTTGTGAGTTATATCCCTTAATGCATAAGTGATGGATTGTTTGAAAAACAAAGTGGCACACTCGCGCACAAAAGTGTTTGGCAAATTCTTTCGCACACATACATACATATGTACATACATATATACTTACATAAAAATACATATACTCAAATAACCCTCATATATGTATGTATATATGTATTTGTTTGCTTTTATATATAGATTATTTTTTCGCTCCGAGTCCTTTTATTGATTTCCTTTGTATACAAACAAAGAAAGTAATTTTTCATACAATGACATACGGGCTTGAAAATTACAGTAAAACGAAAGTTAGAAGAAGGAAAGCATGCAAAGCAAATCACTTGTCTATATTTATTTACTTATCACAACACAATAATGTGTGGGTGGCATATAGCGCGTATCAAGTAAAAAGATACAAGGCGTAAAAAATGGTTAAGCAATGTGCACACACTTACGTTAACGCATATGTATATAAATATATGTATATTTATACTAAATATTTGTACTCTTTTCGCTTTTGTTTACCATTTTGCGTCTTTGCTTGAGTGCACAACGATAAAATTGCCATTTTGATTGCTGGGCAAATAGAAAGATTGGCAGTATGCAGATAGACACTTTTGGAAAGTATTGTACGAGCATAAGTAAAAATATTTTGGAAGAACAATGTCTTATATTTCAAAGAATATCACTATTAAAATTGGTTTTGTTGGTTTTTGTGTTGAAAGCAGAAATAGGCTTATTGCGTTTTCCATTTGAACTAGCTCCAGAATTGAACAAAGGTTTTCTTCCACCCTAGCATCCTAATATATTTTTGTTTAAATTTTTCGGAACTATTTTGTCTTCTTTTGGCTGAAAGTTGGACAGAGGTAATGTTTTCAAGTTTTAAGTTTCTCCCATTTCTGTCTTACCTAATTTATGTATATGATTACATGGAGAATGCACCGTAATGATCCTACCCATAATTTTGAGTTGACTTCACCCTAAAAAAAGAGTAATGAATAAGAATTGTTGATATTTCAAGACCTGAGCTGTCTCCCTGAACCTAATGGAAATTGCAGCTCTAAGCGAGCCTTTTCATTGTCTCAGGAACCGTAATGG